AAAGAAAAGAAAAAGAAAGAAAGAAAGAAAAGAAAGAGAAAGAAAAGAAAAAGAAAAGAAAAGAAAAGAGTGGAGCACTTTTTACAGCTTCCTTCCTTTCCAGGCATGGCCCGGCTTTTATTTATTTATTTGATTTGTCAATCGCTTACAAGATAATAGGTATAAGTATATACGTAGTTAAGAATATATGGATACCTATAAGAAAAATAAAAAAGAAACAATAGGACAGGGACGGTAGGCACGTTGGTGCGCTTATGCACGCCCCCTACAGACCTCTTAGGAAAGGGGTGAGGTCAATAGTAGACAGTCTAAGGTTAAAGTTTTTGGGGTTTGGGGAAGAGACTACAGAGTCGGGTAGAGGATTCCAGACATTGACCACTCTGTTATTGCTCAAGTCGTATTTCCTGCCATCGAGTTTGGTGCGGTTTACTTTGAGTTTGTATCTATTGTTTGCTCTTGTGTTGCTATGGTTGAAGCTGAAGTATTCATTGACAGGTAGGACATTGCAATGTATGATTTTGTGAGAATTAGTCACACACACACACACACACACACACACACACAAACACACACACACAGAGTCTTCCTTGTGTGGCGTTGTGAACTCTTCATTGCCTAGTCTTGGCATAGAGGAAGAGCAGAGAGCCTTGGCTTTGGAGGAATATGGGGAGGAGCAGGCCGAGTCAACCCAGGTGCCTTCAGGATTGGGACGGCTTGTAGGCAGGGAGGAACTAGGGCAGAACCACCAAGAGAGGGAGGACAAGCGGTGAACACGAGGAGCGACAGAGCTCAGGTGATGAGCAAGGACCACACCCTCCCGATCCCCGAGCGCGGAGAGCGGAAAGGAGACGGGAGAAACAGCACAGGTCGGCCCGACTACTACTCGGGAAGAGAGTGCTCCGCCCCTTTTCCCAAGGCACACCTGGGGGGGGGGCGCTGAGATTTAAGGAGACCCTGTGGGGAGGGGCATTTGTCGGGAACAAACACTGAATTGGTGGAGTTTGATGTGCCGGTACAGACCTCTTGGAGTTTGCACGATAGTTTGTTTCTTCCTTACTTGTGGGCTCACTGTTTGTTCCTTGTTTCGGGGACTCATTTCTCTGTTCCTTTGATTTTCTGGCCTAGGCGCAGCCCCGAGGCTGCCACGCGTGCGTGTGCTTTCTGGGACGCGCCAAGAATGTGGGAGCGTTTGAGGGGAAATTTGGAGCATTAAAGGGGGAGTTTGGACTCTCGCCCGGCTGTGTGGCCTTCATAATGTCAACTCATGAAATACTTCTCTGGCCTTTTTAGAGTTGCCAACAGAAAGGGGGAAAACCCTTTGCAAAACCAAAACTGCATTCCATAAATGTTTTCAAAGATAGTAACTAGGAGACTGAAGTTTCTTCCACGCAAAATTCTAACTGGAGAACATGATTGATGACTCTGGGCTATGGAGGCGTCCCGTTGGAGAATATGGATTATGTTACACCCAGAAGGCTGGGTGGGTGGGAAACAGGGCCAAGGGTGACAACGAATTGTGGGTCTGTGATTTGAATGGGGGTGTATTGTCGGAGCCCTGACAACTGTTGGGTACTTGGTGCTTGGAGGGTGGGTGGGTAAGGTGGGGTGGAGGAGCCAGACTGGCCTGCAGTCCTCTTGACAGTCTCCTCCTTTTCCTTCAGTTGGAGAGCAAGCGGGACGCCTTTTCTCCCGTCTTGCTACAATTCTGCACCGATCCCAAGAACCCCATCACCGTCATCCGTGGTCTGGCTGGATCTCTTCGACTCAGTGAGTATGATGGTTATGGGTTCGTGGCACAATCAGCCAGATGTTCAGGCTGGGTTGGGTGTTTTTGTCCTGTGGTGGCCTGTTGGACACCGTAGGCTTTGATGAAAAATTCTCTCACCATAATGGGCTAGCCAGTCTGTCTCTAGCAGGGGGACGAACAATTGTCTGCCACCCCTCTTCACCTCCGCCCCCTGCCTTTTATCCCCAGAGTTAGGGTGGGGCTTCACTAGCAGCGGTGGCTCTTCCGCCCCAAGGACCGGCCCATAGATTTCCACTGCTCTCCTCTCCTCTGCCTTCTGTGCCTCAGCTGTTCCTCCTCTTCCTCGTCAGCCCCCTCCAGACCTTCAGGCTGTTGACTCTCCATCTGACGGATGGCCCAAGGCTCTGCCTCTGTCTCTCTCTCTCTCTTTGCTAGCTCTATTCCCGCTTCCCCCTCGGAGTCCCAGGTGCCCCTCGACTCCCACACCGCCTCCTCATTTGATTCGGGTGCTGGCAATCTCTGGAGTGCCCAATAAGGAGAAAATATATTTTTCTCCAGATTTGGAGAATGGCTGAGGATCTTTGTAGTTCCTTAGGATCTGGGTGGAGAGGATGGCGGGCCTTCGTCTTTCCAAACGAGGCGGGGGGGGATGGAACCAGGAGAGTTGAGCAAACAACAAATCTTTCCCACAATTTGGGTTTGCGTGTATAATGAGGCTCTCGGGTGCCCCGTTGCTTTATTGTCTCCACTCGCCCGCAGACCTGGGGCTGTTCAGCACGAAGACGCTGGTGGAGGCGAGTGGCGAGCACGCCGTGGAAGTCCGCACGCAGGTGCAGCAGCCGTCCGACGAGAACTGGGACCTCTCGGGCACTAAGCAAGTCTGGCCGTGCGAGAGCAGCCGGTCACACACCACCATCGCCAAGTATGCCCAGTACCAAGCGGCTTCGTTCCAGGAGTCGCTTCAGGTGAGATGACCAAGATTGGTCCATCTGTCTGTCCTGTCCCTCGTGTGGATTCTGGGCCCCGTGAGGGTTTCAGGCTGAAGGGCCTCGCTTAACTCTTGATGGCAAGGCCTCCATTGTGACTTCTCTCTCTGTTGTGGCAGGAGGACAAAGAGACTGACGATGAGGAGGCCGAGGAGCCGGATAGCACCACAGAGACACCGCCCAGGTAGAGAATTCCTGCCTCTTCCTGCTCGTTGGGTGACCTTTGCTTTGATCGATAAAGGGGAATAATTTTAGCTCTCAGAGCTGAAATGCGTGCTAGAAGGGAGGAGGAGGAAGAGGACTTTGGGGTCCCCAGTGCTCGCTGAGCTTGTTTTCTTGCAGACGTTTCATGACCCAACTAGGGAATGTCATCAGTTCTAAAAAGGAATGGGGTTGGTGGAGGAGGAGGAAGACTGTGGGATCCTTGGTTGTTGAGCTTGGTGGTTTTCTTGCAGACGTTTCATGACCCAACTAGGTAGCATCAATCAGTGATTCTTTTGATCGATTACAGGCAGTCCTTGACTTATATGAGTGTTCATTTAGTGACCATTCAAAGTTAACACGGCACACAAAAAAAGGTGACTTATGACCATTTGTTACGCGACTGTTGCCCCATCTCCACAGTCAGATAATCAAAAATGAAGACGATTTGGCCACCGGCTCGTGTTTACGACTGTCGCGGTGTCCTGGGTTCTCCTTCCAACGGAGCCAGTGAGGAAGCCCAATTCACTTAACGACCGTCTTGTACTCACTTAAGAATGGTGGTAATTCACTTCGCGGCCGTGTCAAGGAAGCTGGTTTAAAATGGGTCAAAATTCAATCAGTGGCCACCTTTAGGGAATGTTAGCCTCTATTATGGTCGTAAGTCAAAGACTGCCTATATTCTTTGGATTTGGGAGGGGTTGTTTTTTTTTCCGGAAGAAATGGCGCATAATGGGGGATAAGAGAGAGGGATGGAGGAAGGAAGAAGGTCAGGCTATGCTGGCTTGTGAATTGCGGATCCAGAGAAGCACAGGATATGCTTGGGGGGGGGGGAGGGGAGGGGTGCTCACATTGTCCTCTTCGTTGAGGGGCAGAATTGGGACATTAATGCTTTCTCCATCTGGGAGAAAATGGCTCATCGCGGCTTCCTGTCCTCGCTTCTTTTTTCCCCCCCTTTCCGTTGTTCTTCGCGCAGCAACCCAGACCAGAAGCCCCACCAAATCATCAAGTTTGGGACCAACATCGACCTCTCGGATGCCAAGCGGTGAGGATCTGCGGGCGCTTTTCTCCCCCCTCCCCACCCCACTCTTTCCTCCCTCCCCGGTTCTTCCATTTCCTGCTGCCTGTCTTTTGCAAAGCAGCCACCGCAGCAGAGCGCATTTGGGGCAGTGGTGGGATTTAGCCGGTTCGCACCGGTTCAGGAGAACTGGTGGCTCACTTAGCCGGTTGTTGGATTATTTGAATCCCGCCCCTGATTTGGGGCCTAGATCTGCTTGTTTGCGCTGCCGCCTTGGGGTTCAGTCCTGTCACTGCATGCAAAACGGTTTGTTTCCTAGAGCGGCCTCCCTGACGGCTGCATCCCAGATCTTTGCCTGCCCCCCGGTGGACACTCGTGGAATTGGGGGGCCAGCCAGTTTCCCTCCAATGAAATCCTATGGGCAAAGCACAGTTTGTGGCTCTCTTGTTGCCCCCTGCTGGTGATGCATGAGAATTTCAGAAAGAGAGTGCTCTGGGTGTAGGCTGCCTCCTGGTGGCCAGAACTCATCACTGCAAGTTTAAAAGACTTAAAAGGGGGGAAATGGGTAACTATTTTATGACCTGTGACCTGTGGACTTCCATTCCCAAAATTCCTGAACCGGCCATACCAGCTTCCCATAATTCCTGACTAGCAGGGGCAGTGATGTTCCCAGAATTCCTAGCCCCGTGTGCAGTAGTACACATAGTCCTCGACTTACGATGAGTCATTTAGTGTGTCAACTCATAAAAATATTTCTATGGACTTTTTAGAGTTGCCAGCAGAAAAGGAGGGGGGGAGCAGTGTGGCAGCTTGCAAACTGAAAGTGCATTCCATAAATGTTTTCAGAGATAGTAACTAGGTTACTGAAGTTTCTTTGGACTGTCCAAAGTCACAACCCACCTGGAAAAAGGGACTTACAACCTGGATTTGAACTTACGATGGTCGCATGACCGCATGATGGTCTGGGCCCTTGGCAACACATTTACAGCAGTTCTGGTTTTCGGCTAAACTAGGCAATAGTGGACAATGGGTTCACTTAACGACCGTCGCATTTGCTTAACAACTGTGGGGTTTGCCCATAGAATCACCACGCTGGCTGCAAACAGCGTCGTAAAATCACAGGCAATTGCACGTAATCCTCAACTTTCAATAGTTTGTTTAGCGACAGTTCGAAGTTACGATGGCTTAGGACCATTTTTCTCACTTACGACTATTGCAACATCCCACATTGCTCCCGTGATCGAAATTCAGACACTTGGCCACGGATTCATATTTATGACGGTTGTAGCGTTCCCACAGGGATCCCCTTTCGCGACTTTCCGACAAGCAAAAGTCATTGCGGGAAGCCAGGTTCGCTTAACGACCAGGTGACTCACTTAACAACTGCAGGGATTCACTTAACCACTGCAGCAAGGAAGGTGGCCAAATGGGGTAAGACTCACTGAACAAATGTCTTGCTGGGCTCAGTTGTTGTAAGTCGAGGATCTACCTGTACCACTGTTGGCACAAGGCTCCCTTCACAGTCGTAACTTTGAGGACCAAACCTAGAGGATTTCTAGGCCAAAGGGAGGTCAGACTAGTTGATCTCCCAGCTTCTTCTGAGTTCGTGTGGGTAACCTGTTGGTTTCTTGGACAGATGGAAACCGCAGCTCCAGGAATTGCTGAAGCTGCCTGCCTTTATGCGCGTCACATCGACGGGGAACATGTTGAGCCACGTGGGCCACACCATTCTGGGCATGAACACAGTGCAACTGTACATGAAGGTCCCTGGCAGCCGAACCCCAGGTGAGAACCCCCCCGGTCTGAGCAGGAAATGGGTTGGGCCCGCTCTCCCACTAGGACAGGGGTGTCAAACTCCAGGCCCGTGGGCCGGATCTGGACTGCAGGGTGATTAGATGCGGCCCACAGGACGCTTAGATGATGCGGCCAGCTTAGATCTGTCCCGTGGGGCCACCCTTGACCAGCCCACAGTGTTTCTCCCAGAAAAAAATGAAGCTCACTCAGGCCACCACAGGCACACCACACACACGCACCCCTGACACGAACGACGTCAAACTGGCCACACCCACCCCGGACCCCGAGGTCAAACGCAACCCTGATGCGGACCTCAGTGAAATTGAGTTTGATACCCTCTGCACTAGGGGAACAAAACCAAACATTGAGGTGGAACCTCCAGATCTCACCACCCTCTACCTTTGAACCCCAGCTGTGGAGGGAGGCAGAGAAAGGCTCTCACATCCCGCTTAGGGGCTCCCCTTATTGACCCCTATAGGGACAGGTGGATGGACGGGAGGGACGCTGGGTAGATCTGAGCTGGAAACTGGGCCTTTGTGGCTAAGAACCAGAAGAAGGGTCTCTGAATTTGCCCACTTTTCAGACTCGTGCACTTCAACTCCCAGAATTCCTCGTGGCTGGCTGAGGAATTCTGGGAATTGACCTCCGCAAGTCTTAAAAAGCAGCCAAGTTTGGAGACCCCTGCATGAAAAACCTGGGACTTTCGGATTCCATGCAGTTAGTGGTATTCTACCAGTTTGGCCCGGTTCGGCTGAATCATCTGTGAGGGAACCAGTTTGCTCTGACAATCAGCTGATTGGGCCCTTCCCTCCACCTCTATACGGGCCTTTATTTCCTGATTTTCCACCTCAGCTGCTTTGCGCGACACGCCCGATCGATTCCACGCCAGGGGCGCCACTCGGTCTTCCACCAAGGATCTCTGGTGCCTTGCAGAGTCTTGGTATGTAGTGCAGTTGACCTGGGCTGAGCTTTTATCTTCCTCTCCCGCGGTTCCTCTGTAGGTCACCAGGAGAACAACAACTTCTGCTCCGTAAACATCAACATTGGGCCCGGGGACTGCGAATGGTTTGCCGTCCACGAACATTACTGGCAGAATATCAGTGCCTTCTGTGACAGGTAGGACTTCTTTGAGAAACGGAGGGGTCCCCTCTGACTTGGGGCGAGGGGGAAACTTGGCCGGAGAGAAGAAACAGGGTGGGAGACGGGACCTTCTGAGGAAGGAGCAGCAAGCGGAGAGGAACTGTCTCTGTAGAATGCTCCACGGTTTTGACCAAGTGAGGTTTCCAGAGGTTCTTGGGGTCTTCGGGACTCTTCGTTTCTCCCCGCCAAACAGCCTCAACCTGGGTTTTCTTGTAGGCACGGGGTAGATTATCTCACCGGCTCCTGGTGGCCCATCCTAGAAGACCTCTACCAGTCCAACATCCCTGTCTACCGCTTCATCCAGCGTCCTGGAGACCTGGTGTGGATCAATGCCGGGACCGTGCACTGGGTGCAGGCCACTGGGTGGTGCAACAATATTGCGTGGAACGTCGGTCCCCTGACAGGTAGGAGGAGAAATGGGCTGGAGAAGGAGGATGTGGTCCTACCCGTAGCAGGTTGACCTGCTTAGCTTTTTGGGATAGGAGCTTAGGCCTTTGAAGCTGACCGTGTCCCACCTTCCAAGCCAGAACAGAGCCTGGTAGATCTCGTGGGGGTTTTAGAAGGTCAAAGTGCTCCTCGGTGCTGGATCCATTTTAGTAGAACATCTTTGGCAGATGATCCTCCAGCCTTGGTTGGAGTTTGATGACCTTCACCGAAGGAGAACTCAACACATTGCGAGACAGAACTGATAGATCGTACATTTAGGACGTCCCTCCTGATACAACCTCCTCTCTTGCAGTTTCACGTCGTTTCAATCCAATGGAGGATGATCCCACTCTCCGAGCCAAAAGAGAGTAGAGGTCCGCCCGTCCTTGCTTGTGACAAACTTTTTAGAGCAGTGTATTTTAACATCAGCTACTTTAATTTAAATTTAACTTATCGGACACGTTCTTGAAAGCATGGGGTGCTTAACACTGGACGTGATTCTGTTTTGACCCAGCTCCCAAACACGACAAACCCTCTGTAGTCCCTTTTATTAGCTCCAACTTTGCCCCCAAATGTCCTGGTTACCTTCTGGGCTGGAGAAAAACTCTCCCAGGAACAGCCTTTGGCTGCAGAGAATCAAGTCCAAAACATGGTCAACAAAAACTGTAACTATAAGTCCAATCAAGGCAAGATGAGGTAATTAGTCCGGCAGGGCAAGAGAAGGAATTCCAGCCATGAAGGCCGAGAATAGGGAATAAAGGGAATAAAGAGGAGGATGCTGACCATGACTTCCACGCCTCCGCCTCCTCCGATTCGACTGCCAGTCGGCAGGCCACAACAGACCCCTTACCTCTTGGGATGGACAAAATGCAGGGTGGACTTTCGCCGTCCACTCACATCCAGAAGTTTGACCTGGCCCCAATTCCAGAGGCCTAGAATTTGCAGTGGATTATGGCACCTGGATTTGTTCCCTGCAGCTTACCAGTACCAACTGGCGCTCGAACGCTATGAATGGAACGAGGTGAAGAATGTCAAGTCCATCGTGCCCATGATCCACGTCTCCTGGAACGTCGCGCGGACAGTCAAGATCAGCGACTCGGACTTGTACAAGATGATCAAGTGAGTTGGTTTTTTTGTTTTTTTTTAACTCTTCCGGGGTCCCATGTGAGCCAAACTGGCCTTCCCCGTCCTAGTACAGGTAGTCCTCATCATGATGGAATCCCGAAATTTCTGTCGTTAATCAAAGTAGCTAAGCGAAGCTCGCAACCTTTCTTGCCGCTGTTGTTAAGGTAGTAACCTGTTTTGTTAAGCAAATCCGGCTTCCCCATTGACTCTGGTGGTCGCCAAAGTGGATCATGTGACACACCCACCCACCCCTGGACGCTGCGACTGTCACAAGTACGAAACCAGTTGCCAAGCGTCCGAGACATGTGACCGCGGGAATGTCTACAGCGGTTGTAAGGGTGAAATGGTCCTAAGTCCCTTTTTTCCCCCCAGTAACTTTGAACGGTTGCTAAACAAACTGTTGTAAGTCAGGACTCCATGCATTGTGATGATTGTAAGTGCAAGGCCAGTCCTAAATCACCCCTTTTAAGTGTTCTTTTCCGTCTGAGCGCTTCTTTGTGGCGGCCATTTCTGACCGCCGCTCTACCGCCTTCGGAAAAGGGAGTTTAGCCAGCTAGGGAAGAGAGGTGCGATATCTCTCGACCCTGCCAGATCCCCCCTGTCTTCACCACCTTCTACGGAGGTGGCTAGCCCTGAAGCCGGGTGGCTCAGGGCACTCCAGCGGCGAGCGCAGGCAGAAACCGCGCATGATCGCGGATTCCTGCCTGCCCTGAAGCGCTGCAAACCGGAAGTCCCCTCCCTTTTTCAGTGTTGTTGCACCTTCCAACGAATGGTCGTAACTTGAGGTCGGCCTGTACGGGAGCCCAGGGACATCCTGTCGGTGGCCACCTGTATCGTGTATGTGTGTGTGTGTGTGTGTGTTCGTGCTCATCTCTGCTCCTCTCTTTAGGTACTGCCTCATGCAGTCAATCAAGCACTGTCAGGTCCAGCGGGAAAGCCTGATCCGATCTGGCAAGAAGATTGCGTACCAAGGAAGGGTGAAGGACGAGCCGGCGTACTACTGCAATGAATGTGACGTAAGAGCCCGCCTGGGGGGTTCGAGGGTATCTCCACCACTGTGGCAGCTGCAGATTTGACGCGGTGCGGCATAAGCTTCCCTGTGTCTCTCTTTTGACTCGGTTGAGGAGGCTTGGCTGTGGGGTCCCATCAGTTCTGGGTGCCTCTCTTCCTCTCTCTTCCTCTCTTCTCAACTGCTTCCTTCCTGCAGCTGACAGGGGTGGGGTTGGGTTGGTCCTTACCTGGACTAGAAACCAACCCATCTGCAGTCCAGTTGGGTCCAAGAACGAGCCTTGGTCTCCTCTTCCCTTTTCACAACCCACCTACCTGGTCTTCCCGGATCCCAACTTAAGAGGTCCCAGTTCCAGCAGATCCTTCAACGCTTGGTTGGTAGGATGTGGGGACCAGTTTTCCTGGATCTTTCCTCTCTGAAATGGACCCATAGATCCATTGTCGTCATCAACATCATCTCATATTTCCCCCCTCCCCAAAAGGGTCCCAGCCAAGGCTTCTGACCGTAGGGGTGGCATGGGCTTGGTGAGGTCTCTGTGTGTTTAAATTACCTGTATGCCTCCTGTCCCATCTCCAGTAAGGGATTGTTAATCCCCCTCCCCACCCACCTCCTGTCCTGACAGTGGTGGAGACGTGGAGCCCCGTAGCAGGTTGAAGAGGTCAAAAACAGTGAGTATGACGCGCGTGGTTTTGTAAGAGGAGAAGATAAGGAAGGTGAAGGAAGAACGTGGAAGAAGAAGAGAAAAAAAAAATCGGTCAGGATTGTGGTGACCAAGGAAAGGAAGTTGGGTCAACACTGGTGTGGAACTGGAAGGATTAGAAAGTCTTTGAAGGTGTGTGTGGAGGCTGCCTCAACGCAGCTAAATGAGTAAGAGGAATCGGAGCAGCAACATTCATAGGAGGTCTACAGAATTGAGGAAGCTCCCTGGATGAACGGAAGGCTTGAGATGACAACGGAAGGATATCTCAGTTGACCAGGAATGACTCAACCAATAATACGGTAGCTTCCCCGCTGGTTGATCGGATCTCTCTTGGAAGGAAAAATCAGACAATCTCTGTTGTGCGTGGGCCTACACGAGTCCTGCACCCGAAGTTGCCAGAATTCTCGGGACCTCGTCTCTTTCTTCTCATTCTTAGTAAAGAGAAAATTATTTGTTGAAAAGAAGAAATCTCCATTGTTGGCATCTGCTGAAACAGACGAGAGGAATGATGAGTTGTGGGCTAACTCCCAAAATTCAAAGAGCCAACATGGAGAACAATGGCCCCTTTCTGACTCGCGGACTTCAACTCCCAGAATTCCCGGAGCCAACATGGGCAACAGTGGCTCCATTATGACTCGTGGACTTCAACTCCCAGAATTCCCGAGCCAACATGGGCAACAGTGGCTCCATTATGACTCGCGGACTTCAACTCCCAGAATTCCCGGAGCCAGGGAATTTTAAGGAAGGCTAGCTCAGAAGAACAGATTCATTTGAACGGCCCTTGTCTCTAGCCAAACACCTCATCAGTAACGTCGTTCCCGTTCTCTCCAGTGGGAATCTGAATAGGCAAAACATCCCTTGAAGCATCCATGGTGGTGTTCTCTCCAGAAGGTTCTTCAGTTTACGGTTCTCGAGTCACGACGTTTCCCGTGACTTTCCACTACTGGTGTGTCGGACTCCTGTCCTATCTGGCCAAGGAAGAGGACCAAGGATTGGATCCTGAGGTGGTCTAAGAAGTTCTGATCTGCTGCCTCTCCTTCCAGGATGGCCTCGATCCTGTGGATGTGAACAGTTCTGACTTCCTTTCCTCGGAAAAAAGGTGGTAGAGGAAGAGGTGGAACCACAGTTAATCAAGTTTTTATCATTGTTACCTCGGATTCGGACTCGGTCCCCGGGAGAGAAATGGCATGTTGATTTCATGGACCATCGATGGCGAGACCTGGACAGCGAGACCGGGGCCATACCTGAACTCTTAACATCTCATGATGCTGGCTACCATATCCCCCAGCAAGATACGAGAACTGGAAACCCCTTTTTAACTGGGATTCCACTCCTAGTGTCAACTCATAAAATATTCCTACGGTCTTTTTAGAGTTGCCAATAGAAAGGGAGGGGCGAGAGGAGTTTGAAAGAGCAGCACGACAGCTTGGAAACTGAAAGTGCATTCCATACGTAGCTTTTCAAAGATAGTAACTAGGTGACTGAAGTTTCTGCCCCGCAAAGATCTAACTGGAGAATGTGATTGATGACTCTGGGCTATGGATATGTCCCATTGGAGAATATGAATTACAATACACCCAGGGGGGTGGGGGTGGGGAAACCAGGGTCAAGGCTGACAATGAATTCTGTCATTCTGTCAGCTGTACCCAGGCAGTGCTGGATATGTTAACTCCCAATAAATCCTTTGGATGTTTGGCTCGAGACTCGTGATTTAAATGGAGGTAACTGCCAGAATCCTGGCACCCTAGTTCAGAAGCACAACTTGGGTCATCAGATGACCCATTTTGGAAGGCTTCAGAGTCCTTCCCTGTCGTGTTCGACATACCCTTGAAACCGTGGGGAGAGGTTATTAATCAAAATTATATATAAATATAATTGTACTTTGTACTGCGTATTGTAAGCAGTGGTGGTAGAACAACCGGTTGTGTGAGTGTGCGCAGAATTCAAAGGCGATCACCTCCCAGCCTTACTCCCGAGTCGTCCCTTTTGTCTCAGCTGCTCTCGCCTTCTAGCAGCTCTGCGCACACGCGCCCTGGGAACAGGCTCCCCTTGTTCCTCTGCCTCGCTGCTGCCAGGCTCCGGAGGTTCTGGAGTTAGCACACAACTCCCAGGTGGCCCTGGCCCCATCTCTGCATTGGACACAGGACCCTCGTCCGAGTCCCTCCCCTCAGAGTCCCGCACTGGTCCCTGTTCCTCCCCACTGTCCGATTCCTCTGCCATCTGCACAGGCTGCCGGCAAACCACAACACCCTGTGGTGTACCAGTGTTAAGAATAAGGGCTGAAGAGGTATGATTACCTAATCTGACCCTCTGTGAGCGGCCAGACAGGAAATCCATACTCCAAAGGCAGATTGAACGAGAAAGCCCAAGGTCCAGAAGTTTAGACACTAGTCTACGTGGAAGAATTGTGTTAAACGCAGAACTAAAATCCACAAAAAGCATCCTCACGTAGCGACCCCTCTGTTCTAGATGAGTCAGAGCAGTGTGAAGAGTGATGGCTGTAGAGTCTAATCCACTGTGCCGTGCGAATCCGCCCAGCTGAAAAAGGTGGAAATATACCTGATTGTTGGAGTTACCGGTTTGTTAAAACCGGTCCAAACCAGTGGCAGCTCACCACTGATTGTAAGCCACCTATCAACAGTTAATAAAGGAGCGTGAAACGGGGGCTTGAATTCTGTCTCCGGTCCAAGGGGAGTCAAATCAACTAATCTTTGGACTACCGCACCCATTGTCCTCAGCCAGACCACGCCCACTGAGAAAAGTGGAAGGGAAGCAAAGGGCAAAGCATAATGACTTCTTCATGCGGTGGTAGGCAGGAGTCTCGGGGGCCTCATTTTCTGGTATCTTACGGGGGGAGTTGTTGGTGGCATGGTTCCTTCTCCTTTCCGGGGGTAGCGGCCCTCCCTTTGCTATTTTTGAACTGCGTGTTTGGGGCAGGATTAAAGTTTGGGGTTTCAACAAGGTCTCAGCAGGGGTGGGTGGTGATGGTGGTGGACTTCCGGAGGGGGAGACGGTGAAGAAGCTGTTCATCGGCTTGATACCAACCCATTTTAGACAAATCTTCAAAACCTCCCCAACTTTTGGAGGAAAGCCATTGCACTGGATGTAATCAAGCCATAGACTCAACAGCTGGAAGGGACCTTAGAGGTCTTCTAGTCCAACCTTCTGCTCAAGCAGGAAGTCCTGTACCATTTCAGGCAAACGGCCATCCAGTTTCTGCTTTAAAAGCCTCCGGTGATGGAGCACCCATAATTTCTGGTGGCAAGATGTTCCACTGACTGTAATAGAATCGGAGGGCTGAAAGGCACCTTGGAGGCCTTCTAGTCCAGCCCCCTGTCCATGGTAGGAGACCCTGTACCGTTTTAGACAAATGGTTGTCTGGCCTTAAAATCCCCCACTGATGGAGGAGCACCCACGTTGGTGGTTTAGGGGTCGCTCGCCCACGGCGAGCAGAGCTAAGCTAGTGGCCTCCTGAATCCCGTCCGCTGATCTGTGGATTCCATTCTTAAGAGATTCCACCCCGTGAGATTCCTTGCGGAGGTGGGGGAAGGGTTCTCGGCTGCTGGCCTCCTATCTTGGCTTCTTCCCTAAGCAGGGAAGGGGGGGTGGGTGTCCCACTTTGTAGGGGGGGAACTGACCCCTCCCCATCTCTTTCCCCGCAGGTGGAGGTGTTCAACATCCTTTTCGTGACCAGCGAGAACGGCAGCAAGAACACGTACTTGGTTCACTGCGAGGCCTGTGCCCGGAAACGGAGCTCATCCCTTCACGGCATCGTGGTCCTCGAACAGTACAAAACTGAAGAATTGATCACCATCTACGACAGCTTCACCCTGGTGAGTGTTTGTCTGTCTGTCTGTCTGTCTGTCTGTCTGTCTGTCTGTCTGTCTGTCTATAGAGAGTCTCAGCCATCCAAAAGCGCTTCTTTTGTTCAAGAGGACTTTTCAACTGGACTTTCTGGTTTGTTTGTTTTTTTCCTTTGAGGAGGTTTCACTTCTCATCCAAGAAGCTTCTTCAGCTCTGCTGTGTGTGTGTGTGGATCCTTTTGCGGCCCATATCATCGCAGGAGGATCGTTTTACAGGGGAAGGTTTCCCCCCCCGCCCCATTCTGTATTTCTTAAAATTAATTTTCTCCCTTCCCCTCTGCACAGAGGTCCCTGCACTTCCCGATGGGGCAGAGCTGTTCGTCCTAGCCTATCCGTATAGGTGGTCCTCGACTTTTTTCCTTAGTGATGGTTCGCAGTTACAACAGGACTGAGAAAAAAGGGGGCTTAGGTTCATGTTTTTCCACACCTGTGACCATCGCAGCATTCCCCCAGGGTCACGAGTGATCAGAATTGAGGTGCTTGGCAACTTGACTCGTATTTATGACGGTCGCGGTGTCCAAGGGGGTGGGTGTGTTGCGTGCTTCCCTTTCAGGAAGCGAGTCATTTAACAACCAGGTGACCAACTTAACAACCGCAGTGATTGACCAATGTGGCAGGAGAAGGCATCAAATGGGGCAAAAGGCACACAGCAAACTTCTTGCTTAGCAAACTTGGACAAAATTATGGTTGCGAGTACCTGTAGAAGCCAGGAGGCTCTGAGTTCAAGTCCTACCTTATAATAAAACCAAGACCATTTATAATAGGACCATTTATGACTGTTGCCGCATCCCCATGGCCACGAGATCAAAATTCGGACACTCAGCAGCCGAGTCATATTTGTGACGGTCACGCGATCCCCTTTAGTGACCGTTGAACAAGCCAAAGTCCACGGCGGAGCCAGCTTCCCTTAAGAACTGTGCGACTCAACTTCACAACTGCGGCGCGCAGATCATGACACACGGGGCAAATGTCTCGCTTAGCAACGGAAATTTGGGCCTCTGTTTGGTCGTAAGTCAAGGACTGCCTGTAACTTATTGGGGTGGGGGTGGGGGAACAAAATGGCTGTCCGGCTAAAATCCTCCCCCGCTTAATGTTGGAAGCCAAATCGATTGAGAGCAGGGGCGTCAAAACTCGAGGCCCACAGGCCGAATCTGGCTCGCAGGGTGCTGAAATCTAGCCCATGGGGCTGGCCTGGATGTACCAAAGCACCAGGCTGCGGTGCCTCTGCTAGACAAAATGGGCTGCGGGGGGGCGGGGGGGACCGCATGTGGGGCCCCATAGCCAGTTTTCTGCCTCCATGGCCGCTGCAGCACTCTTGTCGTCTAAAAACGGGCCACACGGGGGGCTTCTGCGTGGCCCGTTTTGGCCATCAGAGTGCTGCTGGAGGCTGGGGAGGCTGAAAATGGGCCACAGCAGGGCCTCATGGGGCCTCCACATGGCCGATTATTGTCCAGCAGAGTGCTGTAGTACTAATACTGGTACTCATACAGGAACTAATACCACTAATACCCCTCTATAAAGCCTTAGTAAGGCCACACCTAGAGGACTGCATCCAGTTTTGGTCACCACATTATAAAAAAGATGTTGAGACTCTAGAAAAAGTGCAGAGAAGAAGAGCAACCAGGAGGATGAGGGGACTGGAGGATGAAACATAAGAACAGTTGCAGGAACTGGGCCTGGCTAGTCGAGTGAAGAGAAGGACCAGGGGAGGCAGGAGAGCATCTTCCAATATTTGAGGGGCTGCCCCAGAGAGGAGGAAGGGGGTCAAGCTATTCTCCAAGGCCCCCAAAGGCCAGACAAGGAACAATGGATGGAAACTGAGCAAGGAGAGATTCAACCTGGAAATAAGGAGAAACTTTCTGACAGGGAGAACCATCAACCGAATGGAAGTTGCCTTCAGAAGTTGTGGGAGCTTCATCCCTGGAGGCTTTCAAGAAGAGACGGGACTGCCATCTGTCAGAAATAGTATAGGGTCTTCTGCTTGGACGGGGGGTTGGACTAGATGACCTACAAGGTCCCTTCCAACTCTGCTAATCCCCCAGCGAGAACCATCAACCGATGGAACAGGAGTTGCCCTCAGAACTCGTGGGAGCTTCATCCCTGGAGGCTTTCAAGAAGAGACTGAGACTGCCATCTGTCAGAAATGGTGTAGGGTCTCCTGCTTGGGCAGAGGTTGGACTAGATGACCTACAAGGTCCCTTCCAGCTCTGATTATCTGTTATCTGTAGGAGGTATCCGTCCCATCTCCCCCACCCCCAGCCGGCCCACAGAGGAGAACTACAATGCTGATCCAGCCCTCGAGGAAAATCCAGTTTGACACCCCTGATTTAGAGAGGGGGAAAAAAAATATGGGGGTCCCTGATTTAACACATGATCTCTTTTCTTTTTCTTTCTTTTTTCCTGGCAGGCCGCAGCGCCGAGTTCAAGATGAGCCATATCACGCCCAGGCGCCGATGTCTGGGCTCATTTTTCTGCGCTCGTTTCTCCCACTCCCACTGTGAGTGTTTTGGGGCAGAAGGTGCTGTAGCCCCCTTCTCTGCCTCCCCTCCCTCTTAAAAGAGAGCTTCGATCCTTTTTTTTTCTCCTCCTCCGTTGCTTCCTCGCCACCCCGTCCTGAGCCGTAGTGACACGGAACCGGCCAGAAGCTTCGTTTCCGCCTCTCCTCCCCCGCCCCAGACGGGCCCTTTTATTTTTAATTTATTCTTCTTCAAAAAACAAAACAAAAACAAAAACAACGGACCTCCTTATATATATATATATTATTTTTTTGTTTTTTTCATTTTCCTGGGTGGTGCTGATTTTTTTTTTTTTAAATAATAATAATAATAAAAGGGGTGAAGAACAGTTTTGATTCTGAAAAGATGAGGAGGACGACTCCGTTCCTAGCGGGGCGGGGATTGGGAACTCTGCGAGATCTCGGTTTGCATCGGACTTCCGCGTGCCTTCCCCCGCTACACACACACACCCCGGGCCCCCTCCCCGCCACCCCGGGACGAGCACCATGGGCTTGGAGGAACGGAAGAAGAAAACGGGAGAGCAATCCCGTTCACACGAGCATTATTATAATCCCCACTTGCAAACGGATTTTTTTTGGGGGAAAAAAAGAAAGTCGTTGACTTTCGTGGAGCTGCCCTGCGTGGGCATTTTGTTTGTTTGTTTGTTTTTTTTTGTTACTTTTTTTTTTCATCATTTGTTTTCATTTACAAATTTTCATTTTTTTTTTCCTCTGGAAATTTTGAGGAAAAAAAGAAAAAGTTTGGAAAAAAAAACCGCAAGCAAGCAAGCAAGCAAAAAAAAAAAAATTTAATACGGGTTTCTTAACACAGAACTTTTTATGGGTTCAGTTCTCTTTGGGTGAACGTCTGGTTTCTTGGGGGGCGGGGCGGGGTTGGAGCCAGAGTGTACATTGATTTATATATATATTGGCTGGGCGGGGCCAGGAACGATGGGCGTGTGTGTTTTTTAATTATTCGGATGGACATTTGATTTCTTACATCCTTTTATATATTATATATATATAAATATAAGGAGAAAAAAATCTGGTTTGTATTAGAAACTGCTTTTAAAGATGAAAACACAAAACGGACAAAAATATATCTATATATATATATATAGACACAAGTGCAAGTCAAAAGACCGTTGGTGCGAGGCACGGAGGGAATTTCAGCCGTGCCAATGCCTTTGGATAATGAAAAATATAACAGCCCTGTGCAAGGATAGGGTATGGTGCTTGTACCCCAAATCAAAGACACACGGGTAGGTTGGGGAGAAGATTTTGGCAAAATTTTGGCCGGGGTGGGAGCTATTCTCAACACTTCTCCTAGCTTTTGTTATCCATGGCTAGGTGTAACTTAACACAAACCTTCCTTCCTTCCTTAAATCCAATGTCCTTAACTCTTCTCCCGTAATTATTTCACCTTTCGCCCAATGTGAGTCTATTTAATTTTTTGTTTTTTTCCTTATTTGATTTCACCGGCATGTTTTCTTTGAATATTTTTATTTTTTAAGAAAAGCTAGACAGTTCTCACTCCCAGTTCATTTAAAAAAGAAAAGAAAAGAAAAAGCCAAGAATGTCTGAGATTTGGGGTAATTTTTCTCTCTTTCTCTCTCTCTCTCTCTCTCGTTTTTATTGTTTATTTTTTACCTCCACGTGTCAGAATTGTTTTACAATTTATAAATGTTCTCTCTCCTTTTTTTATTTATATGTCTTTTTGTTTGTTCGATAATGATTTCTCTATTTATTGGTCCTTTTATGGGAGGGGGGGGGGGGCGTTGATCCTTTTTTTTAAAAAAGAAAAATCTTTTTAAAATGTATCTGTTTTGGTGTGTGTGTTTTTTTTTTAAAGACACCTCTCCCTCCCCTCCCC